GTTCACCTCTCTCAGGTCTGCTTCCTCAGCTGCAACCCAGGGATTAGGGGAGATGGCTGATGTGGGAGCACCAGGCACCCAGCAGCGGGTAGATTACTATGAAGGGAATCTGAAACTCAACCAGCTTCAGAGAAAGGAAGAGAGAGGTGGGGACTGTTTGTATTCCCAGCCCTGCCTAGAGAGCGGCCATGTGGACCCCACGTGAGACATACAGGTGGCAATGTCTGCTTGTATTCCGGTTCCCTTCATGGTGGTGGGTAAGGTGTGAGAACATTCACCAGACAGTAAGATAGAAACGAAACCAGCCAGAGAAAGTACAAATGGAACAGAAAGACAGGCAGTTGAATGAATCTTGCCGAGAAACCCAGGAGTCCTGCCAACCTGCACCCCCAAACCAGGCAGTGAGGAGGTCACGTGCAGTTTTTCTTTGCCCAACTTTCCTTCCCACATCTTCCTAAAACAGGCTCTTCCCTCCTCAAGCTGCTCTGCCCGGCCTCTGTGTGACACTAGCCCAGCTGCCTGCCCAGTACCTCCGCCCAGTTTGACCAGTCCCAGGCTGGGATGCTCCGTGCGGAGGCTGGGAGAGAGGCTGATTTTACTTTCGCGGTGGCTGAGCTGAGATGACAAACACCTGGAACTCCCTGCAGCTGTGCCACTTTCTCCACGACCACGTGGGAGGACTGACTTATAGCAGGAAAATCTAGGTCTACAGCCCGAGGGAAGCAGAGAGGTGTGTGTGTGAGAGAGAGAGGGAGAGAGACAGAGAGAGGGAAACTGAGGCTGGTGGCATGATTTTCATCCTTGGGCCAGCTGCGTTCATGGACTTGTCAGTTACCCAAGCCAGCAAATCCTCATTTTCACTTAACCTGTTGAGTTAGAGTTGAGATTCTGCATCCTGAGTGAGAAAGTCCTGCTCCACCCAGGAGTATTGGTAGACATGAAGGGGCTCCAACAGTGAGGCCTCCCTGGAGAGGGCAGTCCCAGGGTCCCAGAGAGGTCCAAGGAAGAATGACTGTGTGCCTCAGGGGGGCTGCAGGGGTGGCCTTGTCAGGTGGGGGCATTGGGCGTAGATCGGAAATGCTTGTCTGGCCATCCAGCTGAGGCCTCACACTACCCTCTACACATCCTTCCGGGCACCATCACCTTCCCCTGCGCCACTGGGCCTTGCCTGCCCTGCCGCCTTGTAATGTGGAGGAGCAGCGTGCTGATTTGCCCCTGGAGACAGATCCAGAGCCCGGAGGGAGGAATTGGCCCTGAACTGGAGGGCTCAGTCCCACTCTGCTAAGACACTCGGAATGGCCCCTACTGGATGCAGGCTGGTGGCATGTGGGGACCAGAGGTCACGGCTAATTTTCTGTGTCCACTTGACCAGGCCAGACACTTGGCCAAACATTCTGGGTGTGTTTGTGAGGGTGTTTCAGAATAACAGCATTCCAGTCAGTAGACTGAGAAAACAGATCACCCTCCCCCACACGGATGGGCCTCCTCCAGGTCCCGGAAGACCCGCACAGGACAAACGGCTGAGTGAGAGGGAACCTCACCTGCTGGCCTGCTGGGCTGAGGCACTGCTACGTCGGTTCCCTGACCTCTGACTGGAATGTGCCACCGCCCCTCCTGGTGCCCAGCTTGCCAACTGCAGGTCGTGGGGCTTCTCTGACTCCTCCCTAAGCACGTGAGCACGTTTACACCAGACCTCTGTGTGGCCGCATCCTACTGGGCCTGTCTCTATGGAGAACTCTGGCTAACACGTAGGGTGTGAGGGACACAAGAGAGCTTCTCTTTACTTCTGTGAAGTTGGTGTCATCTTTTCCTAAGACAGGGAGGGAAGGGAGACATGCAGATGGATGGGAAGCCTGGGGAAGGACAACAACCCACATCCAGACAGATGATCGCTGAGGGGATGGAGGGCCCAGGTAAGAAGGAGACCGTGGTGTCAAAGGGCATTGCTGACATGACAGCAGCCTTCAGCTGCCAGGGGAGGGGCGTGAGGGCAGAGGGTTGGGTGGACAGGGGGGCAAGGGTTTGCACAGGGTGCAGCAAGAGGGCCTAGGGAAGGGACAACAGGGCCAGAGGGGCTGGTGCAGTGGGACCCAGGAAATCTGTGGGGCCAACAGGAGAAGAACAGGGGACCAGAGACTGTGGTCCTGATGGGAGGCTGCAGTCGGGGAGAGGCATCAGCCATTGCCCCCGTGGTGATGGTCCCAGGGTTTCAGGAGAGCAGGTGGCCAAGGGAGAGTTGGGCTTCCAGGAGCCACAGGCTGGGGTCAGGGCGTGCCCCCTGAGTTACCCAGAGAAAGGCAGGCCTGGGATGGATGAGAATGCTGGACTCCAGAGACCTTGGCACTCACCCAGGGCTGGTCCCACGCTGGCCCCTGAATGCCTGCAGCAGCCATATTTGACCTGATTTCTTCACTCTTTGAAGTCTTAAGTTTTTTTATCTGCAAAATGGCTCTGAGTAAGTGGACAGGGAAGGCCCCCCATGAGGCGCCGATTCAGCAGAGGCCTAAATATAAGAAGGCGCATGCCTGCGAAGCTCCAGGGAGGGTGTTCAGGAGGGGTGAGTAGCTGCATCCTGCCCCAGGGGTCAGCAGCTCAGCCGACCTGAGGAAGGGCAGAAAGGCCCCGGGTCCGCCGCTCCCCCATGCTCATGCTGGCCCCTCACGCAGGTCCCTGGCCCACTGTGCCTTTGTCCCAGAGGCCTTCCTAGCCACCCCTTCAAACAGCCCTGCCATCACGCAGCAGACCCCAGTCTCTCCCAGGTGGGCAGGGCTGCCTTTACTGCTCATGTTGTCCCTTGCCCTCCAGGCCCTCCGTTCTTCCTCTACCTTCCTGCTAGGTTGTAAGCCCTGGGAGGATGGGGCCTTGTTTTGCTCACTGAAGAGCCTCCAGAGCCTTGCACAGCACCTGGCACTCAACAGTCCCCAGGATGTGTTCTTGGGGAGGCTGGCGGGAGACGGAGTGGGGCTTGTAGGCCACAGGGAGGGCATCTGGTTTATTCCACACTCCAGGCCTGAGCCATCGGAGGGATTTGAGCAGGGTACCTGGTATCAGCTTTCTGCTCTGACAAGGCCCCTCCGGCTGCTCTGGTTGGGGGAGTGGCACTGTAGGGGCAAGAGGGGCAACAGGGGGCCTGTTAGGAGGTTATTCCTACAGTCCAGGCAAGAGAGGAATGGGGGTGAGCTCAGATTCTGGATAAAATGTGACTCTCAGGCTCGCAGACCAGCTGGAGGGAAGATTGATGCTCCCTGCAAACACCCTTTCCAGGGCAGAGGCAGGGGCCAGGCCAGCCTCCCTCCCAACACATACATCCCCCACGCAGAACCAGGCTCACAATAGGAGGGGCTGGGGTGAAGCCAAAGAAACTGTGAGAGGTGCAGGATGGGGAGTCAGAGCCCAGATCTGGGGACCCAGACAGGTGGAGGGAACTGAGTCCCTCTCCCATACACCTTAAAGGCAGAGAGCCTCTCCTTGCCTTTTGCTATGAAGCAATCCATGCATACTGCCAGGTAATGATCCTTTCCCATGACTACCCAACCTTCAGTTTATTTGAATCATATGAAATCTATTGGCTTGTTCAGACTCCCAAAAGCCACAGACAAGTGATCTGCTCTGAGGTGTTCACTTGCTCCCAGCGTGTTCACAGACGGCTGAGACTAAGACAAGGCTTCTGCTCCCTCCCTTTTATTTATATCTTTTCTGGGTAGGAGCCATGGACTGAGACCCAGCCCAAGTCCTGTCTTCATGTTTGACCTTGGACGACCCCTGGGATCCTACATTCCTGCCCTGTATCCTCCCTGGAGTTGCTGTGTGTTGCTACGTGAAGCCCCCTCAGGCCCAGAGCAAGTCATCAATCAGAGTGAGTCTCCTCCTCTCCCTCAGCCTGCGTGTGAAAGCGGGGCCTGTCTTCACCCAGGAGAATGCAGCCTCATGCCTGCACAGAGACGGAGCTTAGCAATGGTTGGTGCATTGAATCAGCTCAGGGAGACGAACCACCCAGAGAACCATGCACTTCAATCAACTAATCCGATTTCAGAGCCTCCTGCTTCCCTAATTGTAGGGAAAGCAAGATATTGAACCTTGATGACCCTTCTCATCATCCCCAAGGGCTGTAAATCCTGCCAACTAGTTCTCAGATAGTAAATGTTTTTCTTGTGAAATTTTAGCATTCTCTTGAACAGCAAAGATGACCCGTGGACCTCACTTATCATGTTTCATGATAGAGTCAGGCCTCAATGAAGGGCCAGTTTGGAGATCACGGAAACATCTGCTCAAAAGCAGAAGGTAACACCCACTCAAAAAAGGACTTCAAACGGGAGAGCTCCTCGCAATAAAAGCCCGACTCCACTTCCACCACTGATAACACTTCCTTAGAAATTCAAATCTGATTTGGGCCCCAAAAGAGAAAACTAAAACCAGAAACAGAGACATGAGTACCATATTTTGTTTTAGTTGTTTGGGGATTTTTTTTGTATGTGCACTGCAAAGAGACAAATGCAAATGTCTTCCTGTTACAATTTGACTTTCACCAAGGCTAAACTCACAGAGTCATTGTTCCTACCATTGAATATTGTGACTTCAGAGGCTTGGAAATACTTCATTGATGTGTATAAAGTTTCACTTTTATGAACAGGAGAGGAGAGCTGGGATTCCCCTGAGCATACACTGTCTGTGGCATCAGTCACTGTGTCCTTAGCCTCTAGTGCAAGGCCTGGCCTGTAGCAGGTACACACCCAATATTTGCCTAATGGATGAATTAAACCATAATTATAACCATCATAGTCAGTTTGGCAAACATATTGGAGTTACAATGCACCTTCATTCTTATGTCAATAGAAGCCCTAAACAGTTCAAGTCCAGGATGTATGAGATTCAGGACAAGACACTGACCTATATATAGGACAGTGCTTGGACATTCCCATGTCCTGTGAGAGCCCAAGTCAAATCCTGGCTAGTCCCGCATCTGGATGGAAGGTGCCTCCCTGTTGTGGGGTAGTTGTCTTCTCGTTTCTCATTTGAGGAATGTCTCACACACATAGTGAAGCAGTTGCCTTCAGTCTTTTCTTTGTCAGTTACATGTAGGCATCTCGCCTGCACAAATAACTCTAAGAAATTCCTAGAAAGAATTTCAAATTCAGGGGGTTATACATTTCCAGATGTGCATGAGGAAGAACACAGGATTGGGCTCCACACTGAGAAGAAACTGCTAGAAGGGGAATGAAAGCAGGTTAATATTGGGACAATCAAAGCAATGGGAAGCAAAGGCCAGACAAAAGTTGGGGATAAGAGCAGAGTCAGAAAACTCAGACAGCTAATATTTTTAATATTACATGGAGACAACAGAAAAAGCAGCTCTGTGAAGTAGAAGAGTTACCTGAGCCAAACCTCCTTGAAAAAGTTCATGAGAGCTAAAGGAACATTCAAAAATTATCAGGGAAAATCCTATATCCAGTTATTATAAAAGAAAAGAGTGTAAGGAGCAGAAGCGCATGCCTGCAGACAATGAAGCATGACAGAAAGACATGCTCACAAAACAGATCAAAACTGGCACCTACTATTTTTCTAAGAAAAGTTAAAAGGTGTTAATAATATACAGGCACACAAAAATACATAAATTATATTTCAAAAACTAAGAAAAATGACAAGAGAGAACTCAAGAGTTGGAAATAGAAGGAAAAAACCATTTTAGAAATGAAAACAATATGATTGCAAACAACACAACAGAAATAGAAAATGAAAAGCAGATATATTTAAAAATAAAAAATGAAGAAAGAGAAAAAAATTTGATAGGCAGTGATAAATACTGAAAATAGGCAAAGAGGATCCAATATATGGATAATGGGAGGCTCTAGAAAGAAAACCAAAGTAAGGAAATAGAAAAAAATCCCTAAAAACCATAATTCAAGACCACTTTCCTGAAAGAAAAAGATTTGAAGTCTCATATTGAAAGGACATACTGTGTAGCTTAGAATATTGACCAAGAAAAGCCAACACTAAGACATAGTCTGAAAAAACAAAGATTTTGAGGAAAAACAAAAAATTCTTTGGGAGCTTAGGCACAAAGAGTGTGTGACATATAGGGTAAAGAAAATTGGATTATTTTCAATTTTTAGAGTATCAACAGTTTATGCCAGAAAACGTACTTACTTAGATAAGATCCATAAGAGGAGAAAATGTGAGCCAAAGATTTTAATTCAGGAAAACTGACTTTCAAATACAGAGGATATAAAATCACACAAACTATCATTAACATGCAGCAATGAAAAAAAATTGTACCCTTGATGCCTTCCTAAGAAATCTCTTAGAGAATGAGCTTCAGATGACCAAAATAACAGAGAGGCATCGACAGAGGGACTGTGGTGAGCACCACATACATACTTACTTGTAAATACATTGGCCGTATGTTCTGACAATGGAGATACGGTATAACAACAAAACAAAGGGTTAAGAAGAAGGAAGTATATATAAAACATTTTAAACTGTTGTCAGTATCATAATTGGTGGTGGTTGTGTGAAATTATTATCACGACTATTGTGTGTATGTGATAATGCAAATGAGTAATTATGGAATAATTTTATTCTCATGTCCCCTGTGTCCTAATAAGCAGGATGCTCAATGTGGAAGAAGGAAGACAGAGATGTTATGGAAAAGTTAAGTCAAACATAACAAACTCTATAGTTCTGATTTGACTTAGAAACATCAGTATGAATACAAATTCATATGAGGCACTTTTTGCATTGTATAGATAACCCAGCTGTGTCTGGGAAAGCTGGAAGCAATCCCCATCACCATACGCAAAGTTCAACTCAAATCACAGACCTAAATGTAAGAGCTTAAACTATAAAACACTCAAAAAAATAGAAGAAAATTTCCTTGGGATAGGAGAAGATTTCTTAAGATCCAAAAAGTACTAAACATCAGAGGAAAAAAATGATCTTTTGGACCTAAGTTAAAAACCTGCTTTTCAGCAGACTCACAGACTCCAAGAAGGGACTAGTGGTTACCAAGGGGAGGGGTGGGGGAGGGGGGTGGGGAGGAGGGAGAAGGGGATTGAAAGGTATTATGATTGGTACACATGGTATAAGGGGGGTCACGGGGAAGACAGTGTAGCACAGAGGAGACAAGTAGTGACTCTGTGGCATCTTACTACACTGATGGACAGTGACTTCAATGGGGTATGGGGGGGACTTGATAATATGTGTGAATGTAGTAACCACATTGTCTTTCATGTAAAACTTTCATAAGAGTGTTTATCAATGATACCTTAATAAAAATAAATAAATAAACCTGCTTTTAAAGACACCACTGGGGTGAGGGGTATATGGGAAATTTCTATACCTCCTGCTCAATTTTGCTGTGGACTTTAAACTGTTCTAAAACATAATGTCTTTTTTTTTAAGTTTCACTCAAAGAGGAGACCAAAGTCTTGCGCAATTTTATATAAAAACTTCATTATTAAAATTCTGTGTTAAAACTATATTAAATTTGAAAGGGCTGACATAGAATGCAGAAATAGTTGTTTCAGACCATCGTTTCATGGGATGTTTTGTGGCCCCTCTACTGGAGGGCCCCTGTCAGTAAGGAGATGGTCACTTTCAACCAAGGTAGATTTTTATAATATTTTGATTCCCCCAAAATTATAAGGATATCATGCATTCCTTGAAGTTGTCTAGCTGACACACTCTCTTACCATTCACAGTGTTTACTATTCCCTTCTTTGTTTAACTATTTGAAAGTTCCTAGTAACTTTTGTGCATAAAATAAACCACTTTTGTACTCATAGTTATCGGAGCACATTTATACAATAATAAATGCACATTTTTACTTTAACTGATTGACAGAATGTCAACATATAAAGTAAAAAGGAGATTCTTGCTCCAAGTTACCTCTAACAGGCTTGTTTATATTTCAAAATCAATGTTTAGCCATTGATAAATCTGAATGCCACACCTTACTCATATCACTGCTGTTGTTATGATGATTAGATGTGAAACAATCACATGACTGTTGATCACAAACAAGTGTGAGGATGTCAGAGGTGTTACTGAAGTTGGCATCAACTATTTGGCCTTCCCAAGAGCTGAATACAAATATCAGATTTGGGCCAACTACCGAAAGGCCCAAGTTGACCTTTGGTGCATCTTTAACTTATTCTTGTCTAAATTGTTTGATTTTTTTTTATAAGTAGCATGCATTTCTTTTATGATTTTGAATAGATATTTCTATTAAAATTATACACTAAGAAACTAGCAATCCTCCACTCCTCCAGAAAAAAAGCATGGGCAAGAACATTGGATTGGACCTCGAAATAACTCCCAACCTTTTTGAAGAGTGAAAGGAAAAAAATGCATGTACCACTTACGTGCACCAAAAAAGAAATTAATTTAAGATTTTCAAAGTATACCTTGATAAAGCGGTTAAAAAAATAAAACAAACAAAATGCCAGAAGGAAAGAGAGCTTTTTTCTTAACTGTAAAAGCAACAACAGCCAAAAACACCATTAAGGAAAAACAAAGGCAAGGCATAGACTGGAAGAAAATGTTTGCAATATGTCCTGATAAAGGACATACTTGTATCCAGAATATGGAGGGAACACCTACAGCTCAATACTAAGGAACCAAAGAACCTAATATTTAAAATAGGCAAAGGGCTTGAACAGACACTTCACAAAAGAAGATACGAATGTACAGTAGAGATGAGATACCACTATACACCCATGAGAACAGCTAAAAGTAAAAATTCTGCAAATACCAAGTTCTGGAAATGATAAGGAATAACTTGAACTCTTACAGATTCCTAGGAGGGTGCAGTAGAGTGATACTTTTGGAAAACAGTTGGGCAATTCTTACAAAGTTAAATATAAATCTACCCTAGGTCTCAGCAATTCTCCTCCCCAGTATTTACCCAAGAGAAATGAAAACATGTGACTGCGTGAAAACTTACACAATAGAACATGACTCAGAATAAAAAGGAAAGAACGTCTGTGAAAGAAGCCAGTCTCAGAAGAGAACATTCTATATGCTTTCATGCACATGAAATAGAGGCAAAACTATTCTAGAGTGAATAAAATCTGTTACAAGTTTGCCTGCCTGGGGTGTGGATGTTTGACTGAAATAGGGTATAAGGAAACTTTCTAGGGTGATGGAAATATTCTCTATCTTAATTGGGGTGGTGATCACTCAGGTACATAATTTGTTGAAATTCATCAAACTGTACACTTCATTGTATGTAAAGGATATATCTATAAAGTTGACTAAAAATAATAAAGTTAAAAGATAGTCATAACTTTTGTATAAATATTGGGGTTTGAGGAGTGCTCATTAAGCACACTCTTTTCTCTTTCTGTGTTCAGAAACAATTGAGAAGCAGGTCCAGAAGCCAAAGAGATGGAGATGTTTTTTAAAAAACTCAACTTCATGACTAAAATGGCCAGATTGAAGACAGTTCAGCCATGTGACACACCTGGGGTCCCTAACACATCTCCTCCCCCCGCGAAGCAGGCAAAGCAGAGAAATGCACTCAGAATCACACCTGGCATCAGTCACAGCTCCGCGCCCTGCAGAGATGGGCTCTTAACTGGATTCTCTGCAAGCAGAACAGCGGTGTGGACCTGACTGAAGGTAGATAGTGGGAGGTGACCCCCAGGAGCGGGAGTGGCAAGGGGAGGGTGAGACCGGGCGGGGCAGGGTCCATAGGGGGCAGCACTACTGAATTTGCCTCTGTAGGCGTGGGGGCCAATTCCGGGGACCCTTGGAGAGGCGGCCACAAAGCTGCACAGAACTCTGCCTTGAAGAAGCAAAGCCGGAATATGGACGCACAGGCTCCAACCCCCACAGTGTGACTACTGGCTACTGAGTTGACAGGGCAGCCCTAGACTTTCAGAAAGCTGCGTGGTTTGGGGTGGGAGGGCCGGTATTCACAGAGGAAGCAGGGTAAAGCGGCCCTCACCATCAAACAGTGAACGGCTCGAGGGCAGTGACCCCAAGCTGCTCATCAGAGTATTTCCTGGCAAGATGCTGGGCACAATGCAGGTGCTCGGTGTGGACTGCCTAGTGAGTGTGGGGGGCTGGGGAGCAGGGAAAGCTTTACCCCAGAACAGGCTGGTCCTGGGACAACCTCACAGCTTCGAGGTGTGTCACCAGGGCTGTGAGGGAGGTGGGTGGGGTCCCCGAGTGGGAAGGGCCAGAGCATGAGAGAAGACTCCTGACCAAGGTGGGGGGGGGCACAGGCAAATGCTGGGGAAACGATCTGTCGGCAGATCAAGGGTTCGGGGTGGAAGCAGAAGGTCAGAAGTGAAGGCTGGAGTATGAAGGAGCAGAACAGGTCACTGCGAGGAGCAGGGTGACTGGAGGGTCCAGGACCCCACTCTGACCAGCATGCATGGGAGCCCGGTCAGTGACGGCCCCAGCCTTGCCACCCCTCAGTCTGCCCTGGGAAGGCACCTTCTGTCCTCTGCAGGCCATCTCCTGTGTCTCGGGCCTGACCACCTTCTCCAGCAGCTGGGGTCACTCTGGGGCAAATGCACAGGGAGAGAAATATCCCCTCAGGCTGGAAAACCCCTCGCTTCCTGCCCCTTGGCAGGACAGCTCTGAGGGGCTGCTCCACGTGGTGTCTTGGTGGATCCCCAGCAGGACTGAGCCCCAGTGGCCCACAACTCACCCATTAACTCCCCCATTTGGGCTTTCCTCCCTCCCTGTTCCTCATGTGCTTCTGGAACCACCTCCCAACGGGCCACTTACACCCAAGTCTCAGGGCCCACCCTTCGGGGACCCCAAACTGTGAGTGAGTGAAAGCAAAGGACAGCTAAGCTGAACTGCAAACGTGTTGGGTTGTTTCTGAGTAAAATTAACAGCCTCGAGCAGCAGACGGGCCAGCGTCTCCACGGTCACACTCGGTTATGAGGCTGCCCCGTCAAAGCCATCAGGTATAGAAGTATTAGTGGTCTACCTGCTAACTTCCTTCTTTGTCACTAACTATACTCATTTGCTGGCACTGATGTGACAAAACACCACAGACAGGGTGGCTCAAACCGCAGACATGGACGGTCCCGCAGCTCTGGAGGCTGCAAGTCCGAGATCAAGGTGTCAGCAGGGCTGGTCCCTTCTGAGACCTCCCCCTCCCCCTGTGTCCCCCATGACCTTCCCTCTGTGTGTCTGTGTCCCAATCTCCTCTCTTATAATTGAGGCTCACCCCCTTGACCTAATGTAACGTTCATTACCTCGCTCTAGGCTGTGTCTCCAAACACAGCCACGTGCTGAGATACTGGGGGTTAGGACCTCAACAAATGCATGTGGGCAAAACATAATCCAGTGCATAATATTAATCTAGAATCTTTTATTAAAGATAGGCTGGTTGTTTATTTGGCTTGAGGTCACTGCATGGAGAAAGGACCCCCTACGCTGCACAGGACCCTCTGGGACCAGCCCTCTCTCCCTCTGTGCTTCGTTCCCTGCCTCGAACCCCGAGGACACTCCTACCATCTGGAGCTCTGAGCTGAGTGAACCGACCTTCTGCTGGAGTTTTTGAACTTAAATCCCCTTGCAGAATATTAATCCCCCCTCCTCTTTTTCCTACTCTGGTTCCCCAAGGAGCTGGCAGTAATTGAGACCCAGCCATTCAATATTCACACAAGCAAGATTAGGTTCCCAAGGTGTAGATGATTTGGAGTGATTTTTATTTGTGTTTTCAGGTCTTCAAACTCCAGAGCATTTCCCCTGAGCGCTGGGGGTGGCTGGAGCTCTTTCCACTCCACCTGCCACCCCTAGACACAAGGCACTATTTGTGTCCCTGTGGCTGTGCGGAAATGGTGGCCCCGCACCTCCTCATCCGACAGGCCACGTAAGCCTAACACGAGGTGAGGATCAAAATAGGCCAGGCGAGGTGCTGCCAAGCCAAACCTGGAGGAAACGGGGTGCAAGCCCAGCAGAGAAACCAGATTCCCCTGGAAATCGCTGCTCCCCAGAGTGTCTGGAAGGCCGGCTCCAATAAAGCAGCTCCGGAAGGCCTTAAGGACCCCCACAGCTCTCATCTCGATGGAGGTGCCAATAAAATTCTCCCAACATCCAGCCTGCAGGCCCCTTGACACTGCCCCAGGGCTGTAAACTGGGATACGAGCAGCTGGGGAGCCAGGAGGGAAGAGGTCTGCTCCGGGACAGCCCGCCAGCCAGCCGGCCCGCAGGCCAGAGGCACCGGAGACACCATTAGGGAGAGTGAGGCCAAGGCCGCTGAGCGGAGGGGAGGCCGCCGGACCGGCCCAGGCCTCTGCTCCAAAACCAGGCCGGAGCTGTAAAATCCATGGGAACTTCAGGGAAGAGTAATGACTGCCCAGCAACTGCAGGTCCTTAGGGAACTTGGGAGGAACCCAGGCTCAGGTAGCAACTTCAGACCCGGTGGCTGTAAACTCAACTCTGAGGACACCCTGGGGACCCAGCTAGGCTCAGTGACAGAGGAACATGAAGTGGTGTGTATGTGTGTTTATGCACATGTGCCCCTCTGAATCCACAGGCACTGGACATGCTGGTCCCATGTGTGAGTGATCACATGCTTGTGTGCATGTATGTGGGTGTTTGTGTGTGAGGACGCACATGCACAAATGTGTGTTTGTGTGTACATAGGGTTGCTAGATTAAGCAAATAAATATATAGGATGCCCAGTTACATTTGAATTTTTGACAAAGGATTAGACTTCTTTGATATAAATATTCCCAAATATTGCATGGGACATACTTAGACCAAAATTATTCATTATTTATCTGAAGTTCGAATATAAGTGGGTATCCTATAGTTTATCAGACAGCCTTCTGGAAGAGCCCTTTGGTAATGAGGCAAAAGCTGTTACTATGTTACATGGTTTCATATCTTGTTACAAGCATACCTTGTTTTATTGCACTTTGCAGATACTGTGTTTTTATAAATTGAAAGTTTGTAGCAACTCTGAGTCCATTAGCACCATTTTTTCATCAGCATTGGCTTACTTCCTATCTCTACGCCACCTGTTGGTAATTCCTGCAATATTCCAAACCTTTTCATTATTATTATATTTGTGATGATGGTGATCTGTGATCAGTGATCTTTGAAGTTACCATTGTAATTGTTCTGGGGTGCCACTAATTACCATATAATTGTTTGGGGACATGATTACATATTACCATGTTTAGCATGCCCAAGAAGATGACGAACTTGATAAATGTTGCATGTGTTCCGACTGCTCCAAGTGGCCATTCCCCCATCTCTCTCCCTCTCTCCCCAGGCCTTCCTCTTCCCTGAGACACAACAACAATGAAATTAGTCCAGTTAATAACCTTACAATGGCCTCTAAAGTATTTGAGCGAAAGGAAAAGTTGCACGCCTCTCACTTTAAATCAAAAGCTAGAAATGATTCAGCTCAGTGGGGAAGGCGTGTTGAAAGCTGAGGCAGGCCGAAAGCGAGGCCTCTTAGGACAAATGGTAGCTAGGCTGTGAAGGCAAAGGAGACGTTCTTGAAGGAAATTAAAAGTGCTACTCCAGTGAACACATGAATAATAAAAACGCAAAACAGGCTTATTGCCGATACGGAGAAAGTTTTAGTGGTCTGGACAGAAGATCAAACCAGCCACAACATTCCCTTGAGCCAAATCCTCATCTGGAGCAAGGGCCTAACTCTTCAATTCTGTGAAGGCCGAGAGAAGTGAGGAGGCTGCGGAATAAAAGTTGGAAGCTAGCAGAGGTTGGTTTGTGAGATTTAGGGGAAGAAGCTGTCTGTATAACATCAAAGTGCAGGTGAGGCCTCAGGTGCTGATGCAGAAGCTGCAGCAAGTTATCCAGATCGAGCTAAGATCATGAATGCAGGTGGCTACACTAAATAACAGCTTTTCCAGGTAGATGAAACAGCCTTCTGTGGGAAGAAGATGCCATCTAGGATTTCATAGCTGGAAAGGAGAAGTCAATGCCAAGCTTCAAAGTTTAAAGGACAGCCTGACTCTTTTTTTAGAGGCTAACACAGCTGGTGACTTTAAGTTGAAACCAGTTCTCATTTGACCATCCCCCAAATCCTAGGGTCCTTAAGAATTATGCTAAGTCAGCCCTGCCTGTGCTCTATAAATACAACAGCAAAGCCTGAGGGACAGCACCTCTGTTTACAACAAGCTTTCCTGAATATTTTAAGCCCACTTTTGAGACCTACTGCTCAGAAATAAAGATCGCTTTCAAAATACTACTGTTCATTGACAACATACCTGGTCACCAGAGCTCTGATGGAGATGGACAGTGAGATTCACGTTGCTCTCATGCCTGCTGACACAACATCCATTCTGCAGCATGGACCAGGAGTAGCTTTGACTTTCAAGTCTTATTACTGAAATACATTTCATAAGGCCAGAGCTGCCGTAGATAGTGAGTCCTCTGGCGATCTGGGCAAAGTCAATTGAAACTTTCTGGCAAGGACTCACCATTCTTGATGCTATCAAGAACATTCGTGATTCTTGGGAAGAGGTCAAAATATCACCATAAACAGGAGGTTGGAAAGAAGTTGAGTCCAACCCTCCCAGATAACTGAAGCGTTCAAGTTTCAGTGGAGGAAGTCACTGCAGATGTGGGAGAAATAGCAGAAGTAGAACCTGAAGATGTGACTGAATTCCTGCAATTTCATGATGAAACTTTCACAGAAGAGTGGCTTCTTATGGATGAGCAATGAAAGTGGTTTCTTGAGATGGAATCTGCTCCTGGAGAGGATGCTGTGCAAGTGGTTGACAGGACAACAAAGGATTTAGAATCTTACACACACTTAGTTGGTAAAGCAGTGGCAGGGTTTGAGGGGATTGACTCCAATTTTGTAAGTTCTACTGTGGGTAAAATGCTATTAAAATAACATCCCATGCTATAGAGAGATCGTTCATGAAAGAAAAAGCCAGACTATGCAGCAAACTTCACTGCTGTCTTATTTTTAGAAATTGCCACAGCCACCGCAGCCTTCAGTGACCCACACCCTGATCAGGCAGGAGCCAGCAATATACAGGCAAGACCCTCCGTCAGCAAAAGGATTATGACTCACTGGAAGCGCGGACGATGATTGGCAGTTTTTAGCAATAAAGTATTTTTAAATTAAGGTATGTACATTTGTTTAGACATAATGCTGTTGCACACTTACCAGAGTATATAGTATAGTGTAAACCTAACTTTTACATGCGTGAGGAGATAAAAAAATTCTTTTGACTCACTTTACTGCAGTATGTGTTTTATCGCGGTGGTCTGGAACCGAACTTGCAATATCGCCAAGGTGTGCCTGTATATTGTTAGTGTGACAGTCCTCAAAGGTTCTCCTAACAGGTGGCTGATCACTCTGTAAGAAGAAGGATCTTTGCCTGCTGTACAGCTATAACCTAACTGCATTTAACTTGCAAATTCATGTACAGGGCCTTGCAGAGAGAGAAGTAACACATGTAAATGGTGCATTTGTGTTTCCTGCTATCCCGCCTAGTGAACTGAGGCCCCAGGTGAGTGAGTTCAGGTTGGGAGACATGGATCTGTGCTCCTGGGTACTGGCCATCCTGCAGGTCTCTCTGGCTTAAATACATCCATTTATTTGTACATGCAACACTGAAATACATAAGCTAGCTCCTTCCTTCTGGGCTTTACTGCACAGACGTCTGTTTGGCAGTGGAATCTTCTCTTCCATTTAGAATGGAGTCTAAATCCATTCTAATGGAAAGAATGGATTTGTACCTGCTGAACTCCAGAGAAACTGCCCATCTACTACGAAGACTTTTTTCCCTTGGAAAATGGTCTTAGCCTGCCGACTCCCCACCCCTAAGAGTATGTATCCCTGATAATGTACCCAGTGGCATCACCACATCCCTGCTCAATGTAGCAGACGTTTCCCGAGCCTCTGCTCAGCCTGGTGCTGAGTGTGGGTATGAAGGCCGGGCATTCTGAAGAAGGATGAGGCTTCACCTGTGGTGGATGTCAACTCAGACTGGCCCTATAGATACTCTACTTGGGGCGGTGGGTGGGGGTGGCTGGGTCTCAAACTGGCTGCCTGATGGCCATGTTTGGCTGGTCAGCAGCTCACAGTACTTTTTAGTGAATCTGAGTGCTCCTAGGCAGGGCATGTGCCTCCCGTTTTTGCCTGGCCTCTGTGCCCTATGACCTTAGGATCAGCTGATTCTTATATGTACACTACCTCCCTGCTCCTGCTCAGGACTGACCCCGAGAGGACACATTACTGGGTCCCTGGAGGGTCCAGAGTTCCATTAAAAGAATACCCAGTGATCCCTTTTTCCCATTTAAAAATCTTCAGATTTTTCCTGACAAGATTAAATTTAAAAGTGTGTCTCATCTGTAGCTGTTATGTTGTGAATAGCACAAAAATTTTGAGAAAATACTCTTCTAGAATTTGAAAACTACTATCTATTTCAGGAGTGGCTCACATTACTGGTGGATGAATTTCTGACATATGAGTTCATTGTCTTATTTTTGTCTTAGTAATTAAGGTAAATTAAAATATTCACCAACATTCATGTCAATTCATCAATAACATGAGGCCCTTCTTTGCTGAGTTTCATAGCAATCAAACATTTATTCATGATGTGATTTTGTCAGATCATGATTGAAATGCAACCACCGATTGGCTATAGGTAAAAGAGCTCAGCAAACTTCCATAAAGAAGTGGGAATCCACTGGCTATATGGAATTTATACTTAAGAATATTACACATTATCTTATTTGTAAAGTGTGTGCTACACATCCCTTGTATCAGTAAAGTGTATAATAAACTTATGCATATATGTATGCATACATTTTTTCCTAGAGAGCCAGTTGTTAAAAATTTAGCAGTACATTGTTGATGAAGATTCCCCAGAATTCCATGTAGAACATGGGGTATTTTTTTTGAATGTATGGAAGTAGGAATATTTTATATCAGGAACCAGTTCACACACACACATACACACACATCCCCCTGAAACAATCATAAGATTTATTTTCCCTTTAACTTGGACACGTTCTGTTCTGTTCTATTCTATTCTATTCTATTCTATTCTATTCTATTCTATTCTATTCTATTCTATTCTATTCTATTCTATTATCCTATTGCATTCCATTCCATTCTGCTATGTTACGCTATGCTATTCTAGCCCATTTCATCCCTCTTTTAAAATATCTACCATTTTATCATGACCTACTGTTGATTTCAGTAGGAGCCCTGCCTGAAATTTGAAAAGCCCTTACCTGGACTCACCTCCACCCACCTCTCCTGATCTACTTGCTCCTGCATCCCACTCACTCCTACTTGAATTTTAAGACCCATCTCAGCTGCCTTCTCCCCCATTACCAGTCAACCTGACCTCTGAAAGATTACTTCTCTCTCCTTGGGGTTCCACCATTTCCCACACAACCATCCCAGCATTCCTTTCGCCCTGCAACGGTTCTATGTTCCTTTGTGTCTGGCCCTCCAGACTTAAACTACACAACGATGGGGATAATCTTGTACTTACTGTAGCTTCATCTTGTGACACAGTGCTGGGTACAGTCAAGGAACTCCCAAGTGTCTATGGCATGAATGGCTTGAATGAACTCTGGGATGAATGAACTGATAGCGCACAACCTCTGATGGAAAGATATTGTTACATGATGACCATTCAGTCCCCCAGACGCCTGCGGAAAGCAGCCAGAATTACTAGACAGGAAAACTGAGGCACCACGGGGGAGAGTGACTGGGAAGGGAAAATACACGCAGCCTCATTCTTGGCGATCCTGTCAGCAGAAGAGGAAGAGGAAAATGGAGATTATGGTTATTATCCAGAAGAAACTAGCAAGGTTCTTCCACATTGGCTGCAATAGGAAATAAAGTTGACTGCTGATCAATAGCTATTGCAAATCAAAATGCATCACCTGTAATAGAATTCTAGAAATTAGTAGGATCAGAAAACAAACAAAATGACCAAACACATACACATTTACTTTTTTAGGGGATGGTAGCAATTAACAGATTCTAATCCAAATTACATCTATTATTTAAACTTTTAATTTCCCTGAAGGAAAATTCTAGCCAATAACTTTCCACAATGTTGACTAAGTAAGCTGACATGGCTCTGGTTTTGGTATGAATTGTGTCAGATATGATCATTTGTGTTTTATTAATAATGAAACACTATTATTTATTGAGGACCAACTATTGTATTAACCATATGTAGTCATTGGTAAATCTCACGTGAAATGGTTACTATTATTATGCCCATTTCACAGATGAGGTGACTAGATTGAAAGAAGTCCTTCAGTCAGAAAGTAGCCAAGCTGGGCTTTGAGCTCTGCGACGAGGGTTTCTTCCAGAACATGAGTACTAGAGCAACATGTATGCTAAAACTGGGAAATAACAAAGGGTCCTGGGGGAAGGATTTGCACCATGTGCTCCACCCCAACGTGTACACAGAGGTAAAGGAGAAGCACAGGTCCAGAGTGAGCCCCTAGCGATGCTCCAAGTAGCCTCCCTGACCTGTGGCCCCTGGTGACTCCTAGAATTGACCCTCTGCTCAGTGTGATCATAGATAGTCAGGGTCAAAGGCAGCCTGCTTCCGTGGGTTGTGTGGTACGAGAAGTGCAGGCTTTCAAGGCAAACAGAGCTGGGTTTGAATCCTGATTTTATTATTTGCCAGTTATGCAGCCTTGGACTTTGGACAACCTCTTCCTAAACCACAGAATCCTCATCATAAATTGTGGGTAAATAAGACGTTCCTCACAGGTCCACTGTGAGATTAAATGAGACAATGGTGGGGGCATGTGGATGGCGCTAGTTCCCTTCCTCACCCAAGCCCTGGATGCCAGCATAAGCTCACAAGTGCAGCCCTGCCCCTGAGACAGGGGACTGATGGCACAGAAGCCAGTCACATGGATGAGGGACCTGACAGGTGTGCTGTGGATGAGGGGCCAGAGCTTGCACCTGGCCTGCTGCTTGATTGTCACCCCAACCTAAGTACCCAGGAGGGATGAGATAGTCACTCCTTCCACAGGAGGAAGCTGAAGGCCGGAGCACGGGGCCTGTCCTCACAGCTCCATGCCTGGACTCTCATCACAAACTTGCCAATTTCGTGTACCACCAATACTATATCTTATTCTGTAAGTCTATTTGGCTATTTTACTAAAATTCATTTTCAAAGGAAACTTTACTTAAGTACCGAAAATGGGAAATGAGCAGTGTCTGCTGTGAGGACTGTCACCACAACAGAAAATCCCACGAAACTAAGCCCATGTTACTAAATTCCAGCCAGACATGCGGTCACCTGTCCCTGACTCTGCACCCTGGGCCTCTGCCTGCTTTGGGTTAGGCAGGGAGATAAGCAGAAGTCAAAGAAGCATTGGAGACAGCAGCACCAAGCAGGGACTCTCTGACTTGACAAGAGATTTGGAAGCAAACCAAAAAGGGACAAATTATTTCATGTTGGAATCTGGTGTTACTTAAAGCGACAGTCCCTGTGCTACTGAATCACCTTGGGGCTTCCCAAATCACCCAATTTTGGGAACCACTGATGGACACGTCCTGCTTAGGTCTAGGGGATGTTGAGTGGCCTGCCCAGTGGCACAGGGCGAGAGGCTGGAGGAGCAGCATCTGCTGCTAAGCCCACCTATTCCTGCTACCCATGGGGTCTGGACATGTTCAGGGAGGGATGCAGAGGGTTTTGCTGCCCCAGGAATCCTGTTTCTGGACTCAGCAGATACAAACTTTTCTCCCACAGATCGTCCCAGAAGCCCTGGTGGGTTTGCAGAGCCACCTCCTGCCCTGCAGATGCTTACACCCCACGGCTTCTGCCTTAGGCCAGGGTTCCCAACCTCAGCACTGGGGCATTCGGGGCCAGATCATTCACTGTGGCTGGAAGGCCATCCTGTGCCTTGTAGTCAGTAGCAACCCTCTGCCCACCACATGCCAGCAGCACCCTCCAGTTGTGACAATAAATGTCCCCTGGGGGTCAATCATGCCCCACCCTGTCTGAGAATAGTGTTTTTGATTGAACGAATGTGATTTTTAGGGTCTGGGGAAAATTCTAATATTAGTAATGTTTTTTCTTAAACTATTTTAGAGAAATGATGAGAAATTTGCCATATCTTACCAGCCAAAAATAATCTGCCTAAAGATTGATAAGCCCTTGGTTGAAACGTCCTTTATTATGTATGTCACTTTAGGCAAATGAGAAGCAAAGATCATTGTTTATTGGACCAGATAATCGGACCAGAGGGTAGTAGGGGGAAGGAGGGAGGGAGGGAAGGAATGGCCGTTTACTGAGCAGCCACTGGGTGCCGGAAGCTTGGCACGATTTCTCTCCTCAAATTGTAAGAATCTCACAGGGAAGAATAAGGAGAGGTGCCTGGAAAGGCTGTGAGGGGCCAAGCTGGGACCCCTTCTGCTGGGAAGTCACACCCTGAGGCGTCGCAACAACCCCAGGAGGAAAAGTTCTCCTCACCGGGTTTAAGGGAAGAGGAAATCATTATAGACACGGCCTAGTCACGACACAAGGAGGGCAAAGCAGGCTTCAAGCTGCCATTCTGTCCCTTCGCTCTCTGCTCCATTCTCGGGCCCCACCACAGGGCCCGTCTCTTCATTTCTGCACAGACAGGATGGCTGATGAGTCAGAGACACTAGCTCGGCAGATTATCAGATGTCAGTGACGGGGTCCCAGTGGGAGATGCTCCTGACCTGGATGGAGGGCATTGAGACCCTCCTATTCTCCCCCATCTCCTTCCAACCTAGCAACTTGCTGCCTGACTGCCGATACACGTCCATGTCCAGTGAACCAACCCCTCCTCCCTGGAAAACCAGAGATGGCACACAGGCCACTCCTCGCATCAGGATAGCCCATCTAAGAATTTTAACCGTGCTTGGGTAATAAAGCCCAGCTCCCAGAATGAGGACCATGTTTGCTTGTTTCATTAAACAGCATGAGAGGAGTCAAGACTGCTTCCCAACTGGCCACCCTGACGCTCAGCGAGTGGACAATGAGCCCCATCAGAGCCCTTGCAGTCTGTGGGGATGCCCAGGGTCCTGGAGGGGCTCATCATTTCCAGTGGAAATTCCACCTGGCTGGACATTTGCCCTTCTTGGGGCTTGTCTGCCTGCTGCATGCCTAGGTTCACCTCTGCTCCGCGGCAAGCGTGTTAAATGCTGGCTGCAAGGCACTGGGAGAAAGATGAGTACTACCCCTTTCTGATGGAAGAACTCCGCAGAGAAACTTGTTCCCATGCACAGACCCCTTCTCAGCGGCCGGCACCGCAGCAGGGCAGGTGGCCTTCACTGTCCACTACATGGGGTCACCTTCACTCTCCAGGATCTGGAAAAGCAGTAGGTGGGTTTCCGATAATAACACAGATAAGTCGTGCAGAGTTCTCTCTACTTTTATTCTCTGAGAGAAGAGTGCTAGAGGTAAGTTAGAGAAACTGAAGGATGAACCCTGTTGAACCAAGAAAGGCAGTCTTTGGCAGGACGTGACTCCCCAGCCAACACAAAAGGATCCCCCTGAGAGAGGTGCCAGCTCAGGATGCCCTTTGTGAGAAGCTCCTTAGCCGGAAGGACCTGTCAAATGGGCCAGAGGAGGTGCCATCTGGGCCTGGGTCACTCCTGGGGAGTTCCAGCACTGCTAGGGTGGCAGGGCCCACTTCCTGACTCTGCACGCTGTCCAGCAGGGGGCACTGTCGCTTCCATGATGGCAGAGCTCAAACACCTCCTGCTCTTAGGGTGGCCCCTGCCCCAGGCACCCACAGGAGTGCAGGCCAGTCTCAAGCCCTGCAGCAGGCTCAAGGCACTAGTGTTTGCAGGCCACCCAGGCCAGGCCTGGCTGGCAGCCTGTGTGACACCTGTTCCCTGCATCCTTAGGGAAGACAACAGCGATCATTGGCATAGCTGCTGCTTACTGAGCACCCACCTGTGTGCCAGGCCCTTTAACTATGTTACTGCATCAAAACTTCTCAGGAACCCTCTGGGCTAGGTGCAGTTATCCCATTTCAAGATATGAAAGGCAAGGCTCAGAAGCTACAGTCAATAAGCTTCTGATCTGGGGTTCTGTACGTCCTTCCACAGCTCCGTGCAGACCCTGGTCCGTCACTTCAGCAGAGCTGCCTCCAGGGCCCAGGGTTTCCTTGACGGGCTAGTGCAGCTAACATGCCACCAACAGCACCCCAAATGGAGTCATCCAGATTCTGGGGACCCTGGGAAGAGACCTGGTGCTAAGTCACAGCATGACCTTGGTCAAGTCACTCTCCATCTCTGACTGAGGCTGAAATCCCTCATCTGTAAAAATTATCTCCAAGGTTTGAGGGAGGTCAGTGGAGATGATGTCTAGACGCACAGAGAAGAGCCTTCATGGGGCCTGAGAGAATCTGGACTGCTTCCTGGAGACGGTGATGCCTCAGGACCCAGTAGGGTCTGGCATGGAAAAGGCGCTCTGTGAGTGCTTGTGGCATTTGTTCCTCGTGGGGGCGCTCACTGGGTGTTTCCAAGCTGCAGATGACGTCCTCCCAAGCAGGGGCACTCCACCTGCCGTCCCTGGCGGTGCACTGAGTACAACTAGCGGCTGCTCTCTCCTCTCCTGTCTGATGGGCAAAGAGTGTGAGCTCAGCTCCCGCTCCAAGGAGCATTTGGCGAGTCTGGTTGTCACAGCTGGCGAGGGTGACTGGCATCTAGTGGGGAG